AGTAACTTTACGTTACTGTGTCTACTTCTGCTATTATTACCCACTACAACTACTCAGAAGCCTTTTAGGACGTTGTTCAGGTTTCATTTTATCGCATTCAGTGTGCCATGTAAATTCCAGTCTAACTAAGAAAATAAAATGTATTAAATTATTTAAATAATTAATAAATTATAAATTGATAGTTTTTAAATGTATTTGTTTTATAGTGAGATATTCAGACCATGTATGTACTTGGAATTGTTTTAGAAAAACTGAAGACATAAATTACTTTTCTTTTCATCATAATTTTAGTTATTTTAAGGAGCCACTATAACAGCACTGGAGGTAATCTGCTCAGTGTGGTTACCTTTGTATTTCTCTGGGCCCTCTGGCGGGGTGGGGATGGGGATGGGGTCAAACACACTGCAGTCCTTCCCAGTGTAGTCCGGATCGCAGATACACTTCACCTCGTTACTGCAAGTCTGTGGGACGAAGAGGAGAAACTTAAGTGGAAATATTCAACATTTTATGTTGTTTACTACCCCGGAAAACCTTTGTTTTCATCGGCAAAACTCTGTAAAGCTCCACAAACAAACCAACAATAAAATCTTGAGTTGGGACCGGCCAGCAGTGACTCACCCCGTGATGGGAGCAGATGCGTGAGGGCGAGGAGCCCGGGCAGGTGCTGAGGTTGAAGGTGGTGACAGGGAGGCAGCGACGCTCCAAACACATCATGTTGGGCCCACATGGCGTCCCGTCCTCCACGTAGCCCAGATCCAAGCCGTCATCCAGCACTGCATGTCCGCCCCTGCAGGTCAAATGGTCACATTAAATCCTGGTTATTTTATTTTGCTTCTCTCACAGTTACCAGAGTACCTAAAACACCACATCAACGATTTATTTCGACTTATTCTCATAGAGATACAGATCTGTATTTGTTTGTCAGTGCATGCCATAGATCTTTCTCTTTCTATTTCTCTCACATACTCTCGTATACATTTAAATGCGCTGATGGTACAAAAAAAGTGAATGCGCACTGCTTTGTAATGATACAGTGAAAAGGAATTTATTGTAGTGGCTACATGATTAAAAACAAACAAAATAAACCATATTGGACACACACTGGTGTTCAGTTTGACCCTAACAAACTCACAAATGTCTAACAAATATGTTGAGTACATTTTCTTCCTCAAAAAACAGCTCCACAGCACTTCTTGAAGTAAAAAACTTCACAAGGAAGCTTTAGCGAAGCAGTGGACCTTGACTTTTTGTGGAATTAATCCCGTTTCTTGTGAACATTGTGCAGCAGAATCACCTGCTTTGTGTTACAGCGCTGTCAGATACAAGTACGGCTTCCTCATTTGTTTTTCAGAGGCTGATTGTACCGTTTGATCAGTATCAAAAGGTGTCAGGTTTGCTTCAAGGCTCAATTATCCTTCCTAGATCAATGCTTTCTCTAAATGCTGTTTGGCACGCTTTTCTCTCCCATCCCGCTTTCACTTGAAGGATCCTCTTTTACCAAAATAAACAAAGCTGCCTCACCTGCAGTCCATGTATCTGTTCTGATGGTGGATGGTCAGACTGATGAGCTTCCCCTGCAGTTCACCGAACCTCGGCCTGGCTGTCAGATTGGTGCAAAGCAGCAAACCACACAGAACGTCCCTGAGCAGGAAAATAAAACAATAAAATAATGACAATATATCATCATATGAGATTTTATTAAACAAAAACAACTCAGGCTTTCTTAGCAACATCCTCCGTCAATCCAAGTTGTTTTTGATTAAACTGTTCCATGTGCTGTAAGAAATGGATTTTATGAGCTGTTCACTCACTGTTTGTTGCACTGCACCCATCCCTGACCACTGGTGTCTGGCCCACAGTTTCCTTTCTCTGTGCCCTCAGAGTTAAGCTTTTCATAGCAGAACCTGTCAGCTGAGTCTGGAAGAAGAGAACAGAGTCTGTCACTGCACTCCGACACACAGCATTGTTTTAATTGGTACTTTTCAGAAAAGATTTTGATGTGAGTGAATGACTTTAGCTTTCACCGTAACAAAAAACCCACAGATTTTAACCATCTGAGGGTCATGTAACATGGAAAAATAATCCTCAGTATCCAATCCAAACCTACTGTAGCCCCACAGAGTCCTGCACTGGCCATCTCTGGTCTTACAGCGACCTCCATAACAGCGACCCTAGGGGGAAGGAAGGAAGAGGAGGATGGAAATGATGATGAAAAGAGGACAGACAGAAATATATATGTTTTACTGAATGTAACAAGAGAAGCAGTGACAAATATTTATTTATATTTAACAGCATTGACTTTACCTGTCCAGCATCACACATGTAGCCATCCAGTTTGTGGACATTATGAGGACACTGCAGGAGAGAGAACATTATCTGTCTGCTCAGCATCACATTTGGTATCAGATTTTAAGAAATAAGAGTCATAGAAAGTTTGAAGCATCAGATATGTCGGGAGCTTCTTTTACCTGGCTGGAGTCTCCTGTGCAGGTCTCGGGAATGTCACAGCCGTTAACAGCATCACGGCACGTCGCCCCTCTCAGCTCGTACTGTCACAAAGCAACCATAGAAGAAGACGGAAAGATGGAGAGATGAAATAAAGAAGAGGGTGAAAAATAAAGACGTGGGGGATGTGAGTAAGAGTCAATCAGAGCCTTAATAGACGACAACAAACTGTCCAGTTAAGGCAGTGGTGTGTATTACAGCAGATCACCTTGCAGTCCCTGCAGCAGAGACCGTTGCTGCACATGGCATTGTGGGTAAGGGTGCACTTCTTACAACAGTTGGCTCCACTCCGTGCACACTCCTGCAGATCAGAGAGGGTTTATCGAACATGTGTAGATCATAAGGGTCAGGGCTTTGGCTCAAGGCTTTCATAACGTCCTTAACTTACATAACTTACCACATTTACACTCCAACACAAAGGACAGAGGGGTTCTGGGGTATAGTTCCCACTAGCTGTTTGTTCAATGAAAAGCCTATAAATTCTTATAAATACAAACTGTACTTAATTAAACTGTATGATACAGTATGTATCTGTAACGACTATACTGTACGATACCTCCATGATACACCCTACTGTATCTGCAGTTTGATTAAAATATTCTGGACAGACGGGAAAAGATGTAACCACTCATTTTCATGTGCGTGACCACCTTTCACACTTCGCAGACTGTGCATGGCTGCCTGACAGGATGAAACTGTTATGCAGAAACAAGCTGATACGTTCAGAAGGCTGAACAGGTGAAAAGGTTTTTAGTAAAATCAGTCCGCTTTGTGTACAAGATGAGAAATTAGAAATAAATTATTTAAAATGTGCTTACCACTAGTGATCCACAGTCACATTCCTCTCCGGGCTCCACATATCCATTTCCACACTCTGGTGGGTCTAACAACTACAGGAAAAATGAGTTCAGTAACTATAGAGGCAAAATGAAAATAAATTCAAACCAATGATATTTTGTAAAAGATGAAAATAAAACAGTTAGTAGATTTTTGATAGTTTATTTTTTTTTTTTTTTTAATAGGGTTAAGGGAAAATGAAAGAAAATAGAAGCCTCAGTGTGAATCTATTCATGTTTCAGTAAGAAATGTTGAGATCTACCATGTCTCACCTTGTTGGGCTTGTTGAAGAGACAGCTGCCTCCTCCCTGTTGGAGGAAGCGCAGGTACTCGTCTATACTGCACCGAGAGAACTTCCTGGGCAGGTAGTAGCTAATTGATACAAAACAAAACACACTGTTACAGAGACTTGGCAGAACGTATGCATGATACAAGTATGATAACCTGTCAACCAAAACAAAACATAACACATATAAATATTTGACAAGAATAAAAGGGACTGGGTGTGGAATATATCCATCTTTGTTTCCTCAGGCTCCTGCTTTCATTCTTTCTCAATGTACAAGAGGTCACTGATTAATTTATTGTAAATGGAGTGCATACCCTGTGTCCTCCATGATACAGCCCAGCCATGGGTCTGGACACCTGCAGTCTTCTGGACACACACACAAAACATTTCTGTGGTCAAGACAGGTCAAGATGTGACTGCACACAACAACACATTTTAAAAAACCTTTGAAATTCTGCTCTGCACTGCTGCAATCTCACCACTTGAGGGAGCTGTTACAGCAGAAGTTTTCTCTTGGATAAATTGGACACATTGAGCATGTTCTCAGTGGAAAATTCAAATGAGTGCTGAATCACAGGTTTAAACTACTTGAGCTTATTTAGAATTTTATCAAAGACAACTTAAAGATACTTCGAAATATTGCAGAAAAGAATAGAAGAAAAAAGAGAGACTGTCCTTGAGATAGATCTCAACCAATGTCCGCAGTGTACGTTAGTCTTACCGGCAGCCGGTCGCTCTTTGTTTCTCAGCATGCCAATGTTCTGGCCAAGACTCTGACACAATGTGATGGCCATGGGGCCCACACTGCCAAACTGAAGACACACATATAACATCAAGTTACACAATTTGTATAAAGTTCATTGGACAAGTGCTGTGATTTGTAGCCAGTCTCTCTGACATTTACAGTGTGAGGGACACAAGTCTCACCTCATTGATGCCTCCGCCCCTGGTGAGCGAGCAGATGCCCCCGATGTAGGCCGCCTCGCTGCGGCTGCTCATGAACGTCTTCCCACTGTAGTAAAGACAGGGAGACTGCTGTAATAATAATAATAATTAAAAA